CCCAGGTCTCCTTAGTACAAAGGCAGGCACTTCCCAGGCCTGGGGGTGATGCACTGTCCCCCATTACACACATCTATTTATACACAAACACCACCACCTGGACCACATGACCCTGCACACACCCACACATACCCAAACACACACTCATCCTCGTACAACAGCCACAAACCTCAACACAACCCATCCTTCTGCGACCACCCTGCACACTTAAAATACCTCCACGCATTGCGGTACCCACCCTTTCTCTCTCACTTTCTAATACACATCCCCCCATACACACTCCTTAGTACTCACGCTCACATTCACAAGACTGCTTTCCCTAGTAGTGAGCGCTTGCTCAGCGCTGGGGAAGTGAAAGTTGCGAGTCGCCTGCCGGGGGCAGCCTGTTCCACGAGGTGACAAGCTGGGGGCTCGGCGGGCTGCGCTGAGCACTCACGAACAAGGCGAGAGGCTCAGCGTTAGAGTTCCGGCGCTCCTGCAGACCGATTTAGCTCGTCTGGGGAGGGAGGTGTCGAGGAAGAAGAGAGGGAAGAGGGGCACGAGGGAGCCGAGAGGGAGGGCGGGGAGCCGGGCTACCTTGCACGCAGACTCCAGGTGATGCACGCACCGCAAGGGTGAGGCAGTGCGAAATCCAGCCCCCAAGCTGCGGAGATGCTTGTCAGGCAGCTTTGCCGGGAAGGGTACATCCAGCTTCTAGCAACCCAGCGCTTTTGGAGGGAAGGAAGAGGGAAAAAAGGGGGGCAGTGGGGGGGGGGGCGCTGATTTATGCCTGCACTTTAGCAAACGTTTTTTGCTGCCATTAGCATCGCCAAACACCAGGAGCCGGAGCTGGAGCGGAAAGGGGCACCATGGGGACCTGTGGCTTTGCGAGCTGCCTGGGCTTGTCTGCCCGTGCTGAGGAGAGGTGGCTGGGCCTGCTCTGGGCCAGAGTTCTGATCTAGGGTGTCACCAACTCAGTGAAGGGCCACAGTCAATTCAGGATACCACTGTTTTCCCAAAAAGCCCCAGAGAGGTTGGGCTCGCCGAAATACCTCGGGCCTGGGGGTGGAAAGTACCATTCCTTCCCAACCCACTACAGACGGCCCTCTCCCTGAATTACGGTATTTTTAATTTACTTTTTTAAAAAGAAAGAAAAGCACAGAACGCACATGTTTGGTTTCATTTTGCCTTCACAGCTTTAATGACTCCATTTGTGGAAGCTGTTTAGGAAACTGGTGAGGAGGAGGAAGAGAGGGAGGCCAGCAACAGTGCCAGCTCTGGCCTGAGTGGGAACCCCCCCCCCGCCCCACCTGGGGGGCATCTGCCAGGGCCACCAATCCAGCCTAGGACCCAGACCCTTCGTCCATTCCTGCAGGTCTCTGGGCTACAAGACATTTTTCCACCCAACCCAGCTCTGAGGTTCAAAAGACTATATTGTAGCCAGCAGGCCCAGAAACCCTCCACTACTGTTCTTCCAGAATCACTAAGTTTGTTCTCCAAGAACTTGGGATAGAAGAGATCCAGTTTGCCTCATGCCCATCTCCAAAGGCCTGGGCAGCCTACAACCCCCAGAAGCAATCTCTGGCTCAGGGAAGGGGAGGTGGGAGGCCAAGCTTACCTCAAGCAACAGCCAGGAATGGGATCACAGCACCTTCAGTCCAGGGGAAACTCCACAACCACGAGGGCTGCAGAAGGCATGGGATTCCAAACAGCAAAAACATATTCTATCCCCAGCCATGCAAACAGGTGCATAGCTCTAAGATGCTGACATTTAGCCCTTGCAGTCCAAGGGAGCTGGGTTTGCAACCTGTCTTCCCTTCTCCAGGTCAGAGAAGTTGCTAAGATCACATCTGGAGTTCAGGGGTCAGGTTGGAACCACCTTTGGGCAGGAGCCGGGTTTCTGGCTCCATCTCTCCTGATTTGCAAATTGACCCACTTTCCCCATCCTGCTACAAGTCCCAGTCTAACCTGGCTACCAAAGCAGTCATTAACCAATCTTTATCTGCCTGCCTTAGATGGTGCTTCAGTTTGAACACGCCCCATCCTATCCCAGAAAAGCACCAGACTGAGGGACTCTTACCAGAGTCCCAGTGACCTTGGGAAAGCAGGAAAGCCTATCCCAAAGTTTCAGCAGTTAGATAAGCGCATTGGAAACGGGGGAATTGTTCTGTCCCACAGAATTCCCTGTTGGGGAGCGGGGAGGGCACAGACCTGGAGGAGAGAGATTACAGAGAAATTCCTCCCCTGCAGTGGTACTTTCATGCTAATGAGAAAACCCATTAAGATACTTGATTTTCCATTTGTTTAAGTAAGATGGGTGCTTGCTATAGTGTAGAGGGAGAAGAGGACAAGTCACCACACCACACAGGCATACACACACCAGCCAAAAATGCTGATTTTACTTGCACCTTAAAAAGAAAAAGAAATATTATCATGACACCTCAGTTCTTTCTCCACCATCCCAGCCAGAGACCAAGGAAGGGCTCATTAAAAGCTCCAGGAAGGGCTGAGTGGGGAAGGGGAGGGATTCCCAGGGCCAGCCAGGGCCTTTGAAGTGGCCTCCCCTGGCCAGTCACTTGCTGACATCTTCTTAAGGGTCTAGAGTTTTATGGTTCTGGTTTTGATTTCTCCACCATCAAACTTTGTGGCTTAAAAAAATTCTCAGTGCTGAAAAGGAAGCTCAACGCCATATTCTGGGGATGGGGTAGGGGGAAGAGGAGAGAGGTGTCTTCACTTCACAGGAGTCTGGACGCCCCAGGAATGCTTTCTGTAGGGACAACCTTCCCACCTCAGCTTGACAGGAGACTCAGGCAGGGATTGAAGGAAGGGTCCAGGGTGGCTTGAAACACCTGGCTACTGGACAGGAGCCCTCCACATGAGTCTGGATTGATGTCAAGTGAAGGCAAACTTGGGCAAAGCCAATACTTTGGTCTTGGTTTTCCCCGTCAGTGAAATGGGACTCATGATAGATTCACTGGAAAATCTCAAAAAACATTCTGAAAGAAAGATGCTCTGTGCTCATGGCATTGGAGAGGAAAGGTTGTGTGGGAGGAAGGGGCACGTTCTCCTCCCCAAGGCAAATTTCTAAGGGCCGAACATTTGGGCAAAGGGAAGGCTCAGGCCGACCCGCCAGTTGGCCCCTCTCCAGGCTGGTGGGCAGGCAGCCCCTGCCGTGCTAAGTAATGAGCACAATTCCAACACTGCTTCTGCTCGCTAGTGAGAAATCAAAGCCCAGTATTAGAGGCCATTTCTGGCTGGGCACTGTTCGTGCCCAAATCCATCAAAGCCCTGGGCCTGGGGTTTCTTCTGGGGAAGGTGGGGGTTGGATGCTTTGTTAAGCAGCAAAAGCAGGCCACCCCCAGCCTTCCTGCCCCAGCCCACCCACCCAGAGAACTGCAGGCCCACTGATCCTTTCTTTCTCCTAGCTGAGTCCCCTACCCTCACTAACCTTGGTATTTATTCCTGATCCCAGTCCCCTGCTGGTACAAAAGCTTCCCAAGACACAACCCTGCCCATGTGCCGTTTACAGAGACTTCACCATACCCTTCAATCACCTTCCCCAACACCCTCAAAGCAGAAACCAACACCCCAGTCCAGCACCTCCCACATCTAACTGCACCCTTTAAAACAAGGCTGGTCATTCAGCAGCCTACCTTCCCCCTTTCCCCTCATTACCTTCTAACTTCAAAACACTGCTTTAAATACCAGTCTGCCCAAATCATAATTAACTTGGATCAAATGATTGCGTGTCGTAACTTTACAGCACAGGACTTGGAAAAATAAAAAGTGGGGGATGTGCTAAAACCAAGCCCTTGCCCCTGGCCGTGGGAATCATTAATTTTGGAGCGAGGGATCTTTGGTTATTGTGGGGAGAAGAGGGGATGTCAACATCGCTACAGAAGGTGGGAGGGGGGCGACTGCGTCATCTCGGGTCCACTTTCTGCTCTAGTTTTTCCTGCCGGATTCTGAGAGAGGTTTTCGAGCAGGATGTCCCCTTCTGCTCCTACCCCACAAGGCAGCCTCACGGCAGCAGCCAAGCCACCTGCTTGGGTTCGGGTACCAGCAAGGTTGGCTCCAGTTCGTGTCCACCACCTTCCCAGGGAGGCACAGCTCACTTAGCGACGCCCAGTCCAGCTACAGGGCGAGGGAGACACATCCACTATCGGGATGGAGCGAAAGGTGGGTTAGGTACTTTATATTAGGGGCCCACCAACCCCCTCAACGCCTCTTCCTGGGCCCACAGAAGGTGATGTACGGAAGCCAGCGCACCTGGGTCTATCTCCGGACAAAGAGAGTGTCAGCGACCCGTTTAAAAGGAAACAGGTAGGAGCACTACGTATCCCGGGCCCTCTCGCAACATACACACCAACCCCTAGAAAAAAAACACCCTGCAACCGGCGGGGACCGAGATCTCTGAAAAGCTGTGCGCGCGGGATTCGGCCCCTCCCCCATCGATAGCCAAAGCACTGCAACCCGGCCTGTGGCTGCGGGCGCGGCACCGGCGCCTCCCGGGCTCCGCAGGTCACTCGCTCCCTCCCTCTGGTCTGCAGAGTACAGTCGGGGCGGCGCGCAGGAGCCTGGGCTGGGCCAGGACCCGAACTAGGAAGTTGCAAGCGAACAGGAGCGAGCGCACACCTGGCTCGGAGAGCGACAGTTCTTTTAGGCGCGGTAGTGGCCAGGCACTCCGGGAGCCACGGGTCGGCTGGAGGTGGTGGCTCCTCGCGGAGGCTCAGCCCTGAACTCAGCCTCCCGCAGTGGAGAGAAGAAGCGATCCGGCGCTAACGGGAGCAGAAAGCTTCCGGCTTACTCCAACCGCGCCCCCTCTCCCTGCCAGGGTCCCAGCCCGGCGGCGCCGCCGTCGCCCACTTTGGAGGGGCAGAGAAATCTGCCTTCTAACTTGGGCGTCCTGCCGCTTTCCCAGCGCGCACCGACTCCGCCTCAACTTCGGGGCTGAGCGCAGCAGCGAGGCGCAGGGTCCTCGCGTCCCCCGTCCCCCCGCCCCGGGCCCGAGAGCTCCTTACCTGCTTGGCTCAGGCTCGGGTCCCAGCAGAGTAGCAACGCCAGCAGCAGCGCGCCCCGCGCTCCGCTCCGGGCCCACATGCTCCCGCGGCCCGGCTCGGGCGCCTCTCCCCCGGGGCTCTCTCCCTGGCCCCAGCCTCGCCGCCGCCGTCTCCGCCGCCGCCGCCTCCTCCTCGCCGTCCTCCCCGGCGCCCGGCCGCGCCAGCCCGTGCCTTCCGTGGGGGCAGCGGCAGCCAGGCTGAGCGGAGCTCGGAACGCGGTGGATGCCCGGTGCCCGCTCTGGAGCCAGGCTCCGGCGCGCCCCACTCTGCGCTCCTCCGGCTGCGGGGCTCCGAGCGCTCACCGTGCTCTGCGCCCTGGCTCCGAAGTTGCGCGACCGAAGGAGAGTGCGCTCAGCGGCGCTCTCCGCGCCCAGCCGCTCCCAGCGGCCCCAGGGCCCTTGCCGGCCCCCGCCGCCTGCCACAATGCCAGCGCCGCTGCGCGCTCACCCAACGGAGTCCTCCGGCCCGGGTTGGGCGGGACCACGGGAGCACGGGGCGGGGACCGGTGGGCGAGGGCGGGGCCGGCGGGGCTCTTCGAGGGGGAACCCGACAGCCGTCTGCGCGCAGCCAGGGCTGAGCTGGGGTCCTTCACGGGAGGACCTCGAAGAACGCCGGGCCCAGCAGATTGGAAAACTCGGCCGCTGGAAACTGGCTGGAAGCGGACTCCAGTCAATTTTAGTTTCCAAAAATGAAGCCGATATACTGTACTTTGAGCTCTCCTTCGGCTTGGCTGTGTTAGCCTTCGCCTCTGATTAAATGCAGGACTTATTTGTGGCGTGATCTGTGCTTTCCAAGTGTGGGGGTCTTTCCCGGAAAGGCTTCCTAAGTGAGATACACTCAGACACCCAAGCGCTGATTGCAGGGTTCACAGTTGGATGGACTTGGGCGTGGATGAGAATCATCCTGGTTGGCTCTACGGGTCTGTGTGACCTGGGCAGAGCTGTCTACCAGACTCCTGGGAGCCCTCCTGACGTCTGAAGCCAGGACTTATAAAACAGCCCCGTAAGTGACAGCGGGGGAAGGAAGGACTGTTTTCCACTCAGTGCAAACTTAAGCTCTGCCCCTTACCTGTGTGACCTTGAACAAGTTACTAACTTGTTTTTTTTTAATGTGCTGGGGATGGAATAAATCCGGAAGCTACATCCCTAGGGGTTTTTATATTTTATTTTGAGTCAAGGTCTCACTAAGTAGCCCAGACTGGGCCCAAACTTATAATCCTCCTGCTGCAGCCTCCAAGTACTGGGATTTGCAGGCATGAATCACTGCCCTCAGCATTACTTAAGCTAATACTGGCCTCCTAATTATCATCCGCAAAATGGGGAATAATGATATTTACTGTTCCAAAGGGAATGTGGAATTGAAAGGAAATATATAGATAGAGAGAGACAGACAGACAGACAGACTGTAGCACTCAAGTCAGCAATCTCTGTCCTCTCCCAGCCAGTGTGATTCCTGGGTGAAAGTCCTGACCATCCATGAGTGGCCCAAGGAGTCTGAGGTAGCCAGGTGAGGCTTCTAGGGTGGTGGTGCCTAAGGACTAAAACCCAGAGAGAACACAAGGAGTGGATCTCCCTTGAGATGTCCCATGAGCCAATCACAGGGCTAAGCACTTAATATGCATCATCTAGTTAATTTTCACAACTCTCTAAAGTAGGTACCATTTATGTCTCCATTTTACAGCTGAAGGAACTGAGACACAGAGATGTAAAGCCATTAGCCCAAATCACCCAGCTTTGAGTGAATGAGTGGCTAAGTGAAGGGACCAAGGGAGATGGGATTAAAGGAAACCCTCTGCACTGGGGAGCCTCCTCCTGCACACCTTCCCTGGGGCTGAATTGGCTGTGCAAAGGCACTGGCCCCCCAAGGGAAGCTCCCCTGGCCCTGATCTGCCCACTACTTAGGCTCTTGTTTCTTTTCAGAGCTGGTATCTGAATCACTCCGCAAATACAGGTGCCACCAGCTGCTTTAGGAAGGGGTGACGGAAGTCAGAGAGGGCTCCATTCAGGCTCAGGATCCAGGGGAGAAGGGGAGCTGCAGTAGGGCCAGGTGTCCCCAGAGGTGTCCCACAGATTGGAGGAGAAGGCCTTGGGGGCCAGACCTGTGGCTAGAAAGGCACCAGGTTGTTAGGGTGAGGGCAGAGAAGCAAGGAGAGCCTTACTTCTGCAGAGTTCCAGCTGGGTCCCCAGAGGAGCAACAAAAGCAGCAGGGCTAGGGCCCCCCAGGTTGGGTCCTGGAGCATCTGGAGGAGGTAGTACATGTAGTCAGTCACCTCCCCAGCCCTCTCAGACTGGGCACCCAGCATCAGGAGGGTGGGTATGGGTGGAGTGGAGTTCCCTGGAGAGGGACTTTGACCAACCTAGAAAGGTCTCCAAAGGCAAAGGTAACTGGGTTATTTTTAGCCTGGCCTGGAACAGGCCTGGAACAGTCCAGGCCAGGGCAGTAGATTAGAGAGTCAATAGCTGATCACACCCAGCCAGCTCCACCCATCCACAAACTGCAAGCCCATGGCAGACCCACATCCCTAGACATAGTCACAGGCATGCCCCATTCGTATCTGCAAAGGTACTCACAATGAGCACACAACAGGGATACACAGGTGCAAAGTGATCCTCCCTCCTGGGATTTGTCACAGGGACAGATAGGCAACCACAGAGACACCCACGGACCGAAAGCACATGACTAAAAAAGCAAACATATGCACCGGCACATACGTCCAAACTCAAATAGGCAGATGGCTCTAAAGACAATAGGTATTTAGATTCCTAAGTACTGCCAGGAACCACAGCAAAGCACACAGGTACCAAGACTTGCACCTGACTGTCATCCCCTGGACAGAGGCACAGAGTCAAGGGCGCAGTGCTGGAGAGCTCAGCCAGGACCTTGGCAAAGTCAGGGCATACGGGGACTTCAGGCTCAGGCTCATATTCTTTTCTCTCCCTGCCCCCTCTCTGCCAGTGAGGCACTGGAGACTTTTCTAAAATGTTCTCCTCCTTAGAACTTTGCTGTTTAGGCAGGAACATGTACCTGGCAGGCCAAGCTAGCCCATGTATCAGGTGTCATGGCTTAGTTTAAATTCCTGCCTGGGGAAAAGGAAGGTGGTCTATTCCACCCTACTTTCCTCTTCCCTTGGGCCCCAATCCTCCTACACCCTTCCTGTATGCTCATGGGAGGTCCAAGGCCCTGCTGTCCCTCCAGATTCCAGCATCAGGGGGCATGAGTGTGAGTGAGGGGCTGGCACTTTGGAAATGTCTTGATAACCCCTCACACTCCAGTCTCAGGGTCGATGCTTTTCCCTAGTCTCCTGCTGCTGTCCAACCACTGCAGGTGTGGCTTCTTGCCAGCCCAGGCACCTGAGTGCTGGCCCTAAGCAGGGGCCAGGGAAAAGGCCACACCTTGAACCATTCCTGCCCCAGCACGAGTGAAGAATGGACAGTTCTGGAGTAGTGTCCCTGGAACCCACCCAGCGCCATCAGACGCACGTCCGGGGGCCCTGCTTGAGCCTCTTCCAGACAGAGGCCTTGTCTTTCCTGTTCACCATGATATAATCAGTACTAAGTTTCTGGCAGAGATACAGGTGACACTGGCTGAGTGGATATATTAGTGAGACTAGGGGAACAGGGGCTATTGGTCAAGACCTCCCACTTCTTACCGGCCTTGGGGCCTGAGGCTGGAGGCCTGGCAGGCTTTGTGCCCTAGCGCTGCTTTGAGATCAGCCCTAGAGCCAGGTCTGACCCTCAGTGGAGGCTGCAGAGGTTTCCAGAGGTGCCCCTCATCTCACTGGAACCAGAGTGTGTGCAGGAAGCGGAAATCTGGGAGCTGGCGTCCAGCCCATGATGTGACCCCCGTCCCCAGGGCTGCTGGTAGCTGCCCTGCTGTGAGATCTCAGGCCACTTACAGAATTTTCCTAGGCATCACTTTCCTCCATTGTAAAGAGGAAATAATAACTACCTGTGGAGCTAAAAGGAATATGCATAGATCCTTTAATCTAGCCGAATAAAAGGTACCTATTTTGTAACAATTACGATTTTAAAAGCAGTTGTAGGGGCGCCCTGCGGGGGCGGCTGCGCTTGGTGTTCCCTCCCTCGCTTCCGGGCGGGCCCTGTGCTCGCAGATGCCACCAGGCGGCGCGCTGGAGCCAAAGCCTGTCCTAGAGCCGCAGCAGTCTAGCTGCTAAGGCCGGGGCTGGGGGTAACCGTGCCTGCACGACCCCACCCAGGGTTGCCTGGGAGAGGGTTTCTTCCTGGGTAGTCAAGGCAAAGGGAGTTTCAGATGACTCAGTGTGCAGGCTCTTGAGCGGGAATGTTTGAGAAAGACAGCACCATCCCTCCCCTGGCCCACCCAGGCCAGAAGGGACCCGGACGCGGGGATGCTGCAGAAGAGAGGCACCTACGGTTGAAGTCCTGAGCGGCTTTGCCATTTCTGGGTAATGGCATTATTACAGCCAACGCTGAGCACTTCCACGTGCCAGACGCTGTCCTAAATCCCTTCCTTGCCGACAACCTATGTGACAGGTGCTGTCATTTCCCCACTCGCCGATGCAGGGACGAGGCACAGAACCGTGTGACTCGCCCACGGACCTCGCCCAGCTAGCGCTCGGGGCGGCAGGGAATCCCAGCCAGGCAGAGTGCATCTCAAGCTGGTACTTGTGTTTTTAAAAAATGAGATGAAATTTACATATTTTATGTAAATGTTGCATAAATTTTCCATTTTAACCACTTTAAAGTGCACAGTTCTGTGGCTTTTAGTATATTCGTGATGTCGTGCAATCATCACCACTATCTAATTTGAAAAGATTTTCATTACTCCCTAAAGAAACCCGTTGTATTGGCAGTCACTCCCCATTCTCTTCTCCAGCCCCTGGCAACCACTAATCTACTTTCTGTTTCTATGGATTTGCCAATTCTGGACATTTCCTCTAAATAGAATCATACAATATGTGACCTGAGTCATTATATGTAGACTCTTTTTTTTGGTACTGGGGATCGAACTCAGGACGTTGCGCTTGTGAGGCAGGTGGCAGAACCACTGAGCTAAATCCCCAGCCCCTATATGCAGACTCTTAACCTCTGCTAAATTCTGTGACAACCCTCTTCCCTCATTTGGTTCCCTCATTGGCTCTTTCCCCCTGAAGGAGGCCTTCCTTGAGGTACCCAGGCTGGTAAGAACTTAATCACAACAGACTCAGGGCCAAGCAGACCTGGGTTCAAATCCTGCTTCAGCCTTGGAGCATCTATGTATCATCTCTGCTGTCACTGTCTCAAATTCTTCTATTGCTCTGAGTTTATTAGAATAGCTTCAGATTTACAGAAAAATTTCAGATATGATACAGCAAGTTCCCATGTAACTCTTACCTAGTTTCCATGATTATATCTGACATAAATACGGTGTATTTGCTACATGAACAAATATTAGTATAAATGATTCTGATTTCCTTAGTA